CCCTTCGGCCCCGCATCTCTCAGGAGTCTCGCTGCAGGCGTCGCAGAATTCCTGCTCGGAGGAAATGGCGATCTTCTTCATGTTGGACTCGAACTCGGACACGGCATGAGCGTGCTCGATTGGCCGAAAAGCGGGTACGCGACTGGCTCGGTTTCGGGGGAGTCGGGGACTATGCCGCCGCTGCGGAAGAGGTAGCGGACACTAATCTCGGATGGGTCGGGGAAGGGAGCTGATGGCGAGGTCGACGCGTTGGTTACCAACTCAAATGCCATACTGGATGAGTAGTCTGGAACGCTGGTGAAGATGGACTTCGTCTCTGCAAGCTTTGACAGGCCGAAAAAGGATAGGAAGATGGCGTAGGCGCCAAATTGGACGCTGAGTTTGGTCTTGGTGCCAGCTGAGTAGATTAGTTCCTTGAAACTGGAGAGAACTTCGCCAGCCAAGATCGAACCGCTCACTGCCCGGATGGGGGAGGAGGAGTTGTAGGCAAGGTTGAATTCATGCATGTTCGCCAGCTCTTGCAGACGAGCAAATGTGGCCTCCGACGGCAGTTTATCTTCTGGCAGTGAATCGGTGGAGTTATGGATCCTAGCAACATTAAGGAGATCCCAGATCAGGTACGCATTGCCGAAGTTAACCTTTGACTCCGGGAAGGTTCCCTCCACCATGGGCGCGATGGTTTTGTAGAAATCGGTGGTCGACTGGAGCAGTTCATGATACTCCTTGGATTCGCGGAACTGGTTGCTGCTAGTCTTAGCCTTCTGGCATTTGGTCGCACTCTGCAGCCAGGCGAGATTCTCGCTGTTGCCGCCAGTTGACACTTGCTCAACAGCAATGAGCTGGTATCCGTTCATAGGCGACTCGACAACGGTGCCATTGCGAAGAGTAGATATGGCGGCTCTGCCAGCGGGCGGGTACAGAGCCTGCAGGAACGCAATAGCGGATTTCTGCAACACATCGTCGTCAGGCGCGGAGGCGACGAGTTGGCTAGGTTTTACAATTTCCGGGCTTATGCCGAAAATGTGTGATTGGGACGCTAAGGAAATGTAGCGGTTATGAAAGTAAGAGCCGGTGTTGAACACCTGCTGGTAACCCAGGCTAGTCAAGTCAGTAGACGGCGTGGACTTGGCAGTGCGGTCTCCATGGCGGGCAAAGACATAGGCACCCAGGACTGTCTCTGCGGAGGCTTGCGGCGCAAGGGCCGCTAGAGCCGCTACAAGGGCCAACACTGTCGACAGCGGTTGCATTGAGCGAGAGCACGTGGCGGAGAAACGGAATTTAGGGTTATATCAGGTTATAGTTTTATGCGATGCGCTTCTCGTGTGCGCCGGAAGTATTGTTGAATGTTGTGGAAAAAGAAGAGAAGGAGAGAAGGGAGGCGAAGTGGACGACGGGCACAGTCGCAAATAAATATGCGGAATCCAATGCTTAAATAGCCAACATGTGTGGAGCCGTGCGGGGAAGAGGAAAAAAAAAAGAAAGCAAATTGAGTCTATGGAATATGGATAGATAGAATCTGTGAGCACTGGTGGATTACGATTTTTAATTACTTTATTTTATCAATTAGTTATGTATATTTTTCTGAAATCCTATTGACCACACTCCGACAGAAGCGGTTCATAATGGTTTTTGAAAAGAAAGGTCAAAGTTGAAATGGTGATTTGGATAATTCTGCATCTCGAGCTTCATACATCCATTCGTTCCCCACTTCTTGAATGGCTGCAGCGTGGGCTGATTTCTTGCCACCCCCCACTTCCGCCCTTCTTCGTCCGATGCTTTGTCTCGGACGATAGATAAAGTTTTGTCTTTAAGTTCTTGAGTTACCTGAAACGGGGGTTATCATGATGTCCGAATGTTAAGTCAAAAAGATAAAGGTGTCCAGAGGACAGGCGTATTTTTTCTTTTTTTCTTTTTTCAATCCTAGTCCTGAAATGGCGTTCAATAATATATAGTTGTGTGGGATTCATATATCCATAGACGAGGTATGGTGAGGGGCATCTAGTTTTCCTGCTAGTTCACATCCCCCGCGCACCACTCCAACCAGCCCACCGGTCTGGACCATTTCCCCTCCACCCCCAGCTAGGCGCCATTCGATATCTGCCAGCCCTTCCATCCAGATTATCCGTGTCGCCGCAGGCACTTCAATGTGCTGCAACTCTGTCGATATTGATGTCAAGATATCCGCCAGAGCAAGTCCCTTATTGGATTTCAATGTTTTGATAGTGTTCAAACACGACGTCACGTCGCTGGTTGTTAATAGCGCGGTGATAATCGTTTTGATGTCGGATGGGTGTGGGGCCGCGATGCAAGTATAGATTGTTTCGTCGGTGATGGTCTCATGGTCGGGAGTGGGCTGGTCCTTTGGGGCGTTCTTGATGGGAAGGGGTATACCTGAGAACCACATCGTAAAACATCAGATCAGTAAGAAACGGTACGCATTGTTCAGCCTTACGAAGCGCTTCGGTTTGAATAAGCTTACTGCTTGCATGGCAAGCTTGGAGTACATTCAATGCTCGCCGCATGTCTCCCTTGCTCAACTTGACAAGGCTATCAATTGCTTCGGGCTGTATCCGCACCTGCTCCGTCTCGATGACCTGGTCCACTAGAACACGGATATCTTTCTCCTTCAACGGGCTAAATCTGAATCGTGTGCATCGCGACAGTAAAGCGGGAGAGAGCTTATGGGAATAGTTTGCAATTATACAAAATCTAGCGTTCGCGGTGTATTTCTCCATAATGCGACGGAGGGCCATCTGCGCTACGGCAGTCATCGCGTCGGCTTCATCTAGGATGATCAATTTGAATGCCCCAAGGGTTGATTCTGCCTTAGCGGCTGGAGCCATCGAGAATATTTGTTTGGTGCCTAGCATATAAATAATGCTTGTCAATTTCATAATGCCTTGTGCAACAGGGGAACAGCAGATATATATATGTAAAGAGGTGGAGAACGGACTGGCGAATGTTTTGATCTGGTCTCTGACAACATCAATTCCTCTGTCATCACTGGCATTCAACTCCAGGACCATCTGCCGCATATTCTTGACTCCATATATCCGGCGTGCTAGGGCAAGGATGGTTGACGTCTTCCCCGTCCCTGGAGGACCATAGAGCAGTAAATGAGGCAATCGCTAGACAGTAAACAACAATTAGCCCGTTCAACGTTTTGAGGGTTTAACACATGACCTTGATCTCGCCCATCTTACATTCGTATCGATAAATCTGTTTATAGTACCAATGATATCTTGGTGTCCGGATACGTCTTCTAGGGTATTTGGGCGGTACTTTTCAACCCTTCCCGAGATAATCTATCAGCTCCACCAACCACAGCTGGACAGGGGGGAAATGACGATAATTGAGGGGAAAATATCACCATGGTAGATTATCCTCTGCTTCAATGGGAAGGTCGGCTGTTATTCTTTTGCCTCTCGCATTGGTATTATCGGAGCTGAACTGGACAGTATTCTTGGAGGGCGGGGCATCCACATCCATTTCATCTTCGAAGTCCGACATGGCCGGGGTGGGATAGAATTGATGACTCCCGTATAACGCCTTCACTAGAAATCCAAAATCCAAAACTATGATCTAGCGATTGGGAAACGTGTGTATAGGAACAACGTATAAAGTTCGGAACTGTCGATGTAATTTTCCTGATTCTATCGAAGATGCGCAGAGGATTTCCGCATTGAGCCATTTAACGCGCTCGAAAGTTGAGCCGCTAAAAGACGCGTTGAGCGCTCGGAACCGGAAAAACTGGCAGGGCAGACTAGTATGAAATCAGACTAGCGCGAGACCCGGCACCATGACATCACATGACACCAACCAAAGAGCGAGTTGACGCTGAGAGGTAACGGACGACGGCGACGACGGCGACGACGACGACGAACGAGATATTTCTGGCAGCAAGAATCTAGCTAGGAATTCCGAAGAAGATCATACATTAGATAAATTGAACCCATTCGAAGATGCCGGTGGGTTTAAAATCCTGTTCCCAATTCGTATGTTTTGATTGAAGCGCGCCCTCCGCTGACCTCTCCCCTAGGCATACCACTCCATCTTCCTCCAGGAGGCAGATGTCCCAACCATAGGTATTTCCCAAGAAACTCAAACAATATCTTATTTCTAACATAAAACCAGGAAACTTCCCCCTCCTCCCCCTCCGCACTCGCACGCGTGGCCCCGCCTACACACTCCCCCCACTTGCCCCCGGCACCGCAGAATTCAACATAGACCCGGACAGCGAATCGTATGACTGCCTCGACGAAATCCTCTCCCTGTACCGCGCCAACACGTTCTTCCGTAATTTCGAAATCAAGGGCCCTGCCGACCGTATGCTGATATATGGCATCCTCTTCGTGAGCGAATGTCTGACGAAGGTTAAGCCGGGCATGGCAGCGAGGGAGGCGGAGAAGGTAAAAGAATGAATATCTCTTGCCTTGGGCCGCTGTTGGGCTAGATTATATTCGGATTGCTGATTCTGAAATTCAATACATATAATATATATGTAGGTCCTTATCAACACTTCTCTCGACCACTTCGCGATCCCCGGAGACGCCTCCTTCCCCCTAAACCAGGCGTTCGAGTCACCCCGTGATCGGCAAGATGCAGAGACTTTAAGACAGTACGTTCACAGGAATCTCTCTAGTTGTGATTATTCTCGTAAAAATAAAAAAAAACTTACACGTTTCACGTTAGATACATCTCTCAGGTCCGACAAGAACTTGCTATCCGATTACATTCCCGCCTCTACCCTGGAGGGGTCGGGCCTTCAAAGGTATGGTGTACATGATGCGCTTACACTTTTTTTTTTTTCTCTGTGTAAGAGGCGCATAAACGGCTGACTTGTCTTGTCTTCTAGTGGTGGCTCGCTTTTGCCAAACGAAAGTTTATGGGAAAACACCTGTGAAGATGGAGGCTCTCTTTATGCGTTTTTATTCCTGTTACTTGGCCTCTTCATGTTTTATATGCCACCCGTTCCTTTTTCTTTTATGATGCAAAATACACATCGCGGTTTCATGCTTGTTATCACTTTCCCTTTCTTTTCTCTTTTCCTTTTTTCCTTTTTTCTTTTCCTTTCCTTTTGTTTTTTTCTCTTTTTTTCGTTTCATCATTTCCATTACATTGTTTTATTGTCTTATGCGCTTTTCTATTCCGCTAGCCGTGCAACGGTTGATAGAATGTAGCAGGGGAATAGAAACTTATTCCTTCTTTTGAGAGCTACATGTGGAGGTAAGGTCTACTAGAGCCTACTTAAAAGAAACAAATGGATTCTTTAACTATTGTACATGTACATACCAGCATTCAGTAGCGATTTTGCGATATTTTTATATTTAGTGGACGAGTGGTTGAACCACATAGTCTGCTGTTGCTGCTACTGATGTACGCATATCTACATTTATCTATCACAGATACACAAAACAGCAAAAGAAAAACACACACACACATTGTACATGTATAGTATGTGAGGCGGCGGGATAAAAAGTGAGTGAGCGAGATGGGGTATCATGATGTGTACTGTACTTGTGTCCAGTGTCTTGCTTGATTGCTTGAGTGATATTAACCTCGTGAGCGTATGCTTTCGCGTGCATGTATAATGTAACAAAAGGGGTATCAAAACTGGGGAGAAGTATTTGGGTATATTATATTCTCGAGACGGGTAATGTGTGATTGCAGTTAATGGGAGTTAGGATGGTTACCCAGAGTCAAAAAGACAAGACACAAAACGCTGGTATCAGAAAAATCGAATTGATGGGAGAATTGCTGAGCCATCATTAAATAAGTGAAGGAGACATAATTTTGAAAAAGATGGAATATAAAGAAAATAAAAATAAAAATAAGAACTGGAGCTGGAGCTGGGTACTATGTTACGCTTGCATGACTCTGATACCGACGGCCGCCATCATAGACCCCGTGACAACTCTCATGGCGGTAGGTGTAGGCACTACCATGGCGAGTAGCATGACGACTGCCATACCGGCTGCCATTGCGGGTCGAGTAGGTATCGGGATACTCACCGTCGCTACGGCGATTCGCTAGATCGATCCCGTCAAGCTTTTTCGGCTTGACTATCTCCGTGTCCAGCTGCTCGTCGAAAATCACGTCTGGATTCAAGGCGAAGGCGCCCTGGGGCACAAATGTCGCCGCCAAGATCACGACGGATAGGATGGTGAATTGAACGGCGCCTATGTTTAGGATCGCTAGGTGGATGTCACCGCCGTTCTCGGTTCCACCAGACTCGTTGAAGACGTGGTCTATGTACCTGCCCAGTACTGGGGAGGTGATAGCGTACAGGACGATGTAGGTGGTATAAAGGAATGCCATCACCGCGCCCAGAGCAGAGACGTTCTTTGCTTTGGACTCTACACGTGCTAATGTCGCCTGAATGTATGCGGCGAGGGAGACATCGCCAGCTGCCCAGCCGAAGGATATGGGGAGGAAAGTGGCGGCAACTATCCAGGCATAAGCAACCTGACCCGCTGGCGGGCGCCAAAAGGGCAGGTACCAGACAATCAATAACATTACCGCATCAAGCCGGATCCATGGAATAGGAGTGGTGATGAGATTTGTGAAGAAGAACACGAATGTGGCACCTAGCAATTCGCCCAAGTTCGAGCCTCCAACGATTAACTGTGACCAGGCGGAATTGCCCAAGTATCGCCGGGCAATAGCCGGTGCTATCCCATTTTCCAAATAACGATGGCCATAGAGTGCAATGGCATATCCGGGCAGCAGCCAGATGAAGCGTCGATTAGTGAATATAAGTTTACCGCCGGTCCAGAAGGACTCGAAGAAGAGTAGAAACGACCCAACGATGGCTTTGACGTATGCAGGTCGCTCAGAAAGAACCTCTTGCGCTTGAGGCTGGAAGTCCAGATTGGTTATAGAGTACCATGTGGCCGCGGCCATGGTAAAGCAAACGGGGGTAATTATGAAAGAATAGTTATTTCCTAGATTGGGTATTAGCGCCAGCGCAGTGCAGAACGCGCCGCTGGTGCCAGCAATTTCATAAAATATATGAACCAGCGCATCCAATCGACGAAGCTTCAGTACATTTCCTCCCACAAGATCTCTCGGCATGACACGGCGGATCAGTTCCACCACCCCGTAGGCAATGCCCGTAACCGAGTAAATAGGAATTATACCGTCGGTGTTGTATTTCCCGTAGTAGGAGAAATGATTCCTGGGATGGTTCTCGCGGAAGCGCTTGGGCACGAATGTCCCACCGGTACTGGCATCCACGATCAGGAGCAACGCGGTTAAGAGGCCAAAGGCGAGAACGGAAACTGCCAGGACCAACTTGGTGGGAGCTCTGCGGACGAGCGGTGCTATCAGGATGGCTCCGATACATTGGAATGCCTGGTTGAGTCCAGTAAGGAGGCCGACTCGTTCAAAGGTTTTGGAAGTCGAGTTAGAGACGAAGGCGTCATAGTCATATCTGTTGGTGGCGAGGGCGACAATGGATCCGTTAAAGGCCTCTAGCCCGAACTTGTAAAGCATAATACCCAGGATGTAGAGGGCTATATTGCGTCTCTCGAGCGTAGTGTAGCACCGCCAGCTCTCGCGGATTATTGACAGGAACATATTGAGTAGCAAGACTGGGATGATGGCAGGTAGTGAGGATGGCCAGCGGTCATTTCTCAGCTACCATTCCGCAGTGGACAGGAGAATGTGGCGGGGGTGAATATATTCAGACAAGAGAAGTATAGACAGGAGACAAGAGTAGCATAGACAGATAGCAAGCATGCAGTTAAGCAGAAAAAATGGGTAGAAAGTATATATGTATCATATTGGTAGAGGAGCGGATTGAAGGACGCCTTGATGATTGTGATTCAGATGAATAGCTTGCAAGAAGGGAGCAAGTCGCAAAGCGCCAATGACAGCGAAGCTTGCTAGCCCGTGCATTGTATAAGTTGGGAGCTTTGATGAAGCCACAATGCAAAGAGTTCGCTGGCTCCGCTGGGACAGCTGGGCTAGCTGGGGGTTAATTTTTTATTTTGTTCTCGCCATGGCTCGAGGGGGATTGGGGGCAGGCTGCGAAAAGGACAACGAAGAATAACGATGAGAAACTTGCCGAGTGAGAATTTCCCAGATGGCGGGTTAGACGCTCAAAGCGGCGGGGTCGAGGGAGTTTGATGGATTCTTTGCACAGCGCAGGAGATCATAATGGCCAGGGGTTCTGCCCTATTTCTTTGCTCTTTTTTTTCTTTTTCCCTTTCGCTCGTCTCCCTGGGGCCAGGGAGGTATGGAGATAGCCACCAAAAGCGGAAGAGCAATCAAAACCAACGAGTCAAGCATATGCTTGTAGTCAGTCAGACAGGCAGCAGACCTGATTGGAGATGCCCCAAGTTTCCCCCTTCGTCCCATGGAGAGTCTCCCGTCCGGTGGATCCACATTCACCTGGAGCAAAGTGGGTTTCAACCGTCGGGTCATCCTCAGTAAGTATAGAATATAAGCTAGAAGAGTCCATAGCGTAAAATGTAATAATAGTTAGTTATAAAGAGTAAGACGAGGAACACAAATAAGAATACTTTCATCTTTCCCGTTCAGATCAGAAACTCTCCATCTGAGAAGCCAATAAGAGGGAGATTTGTCTCTCGTGGAGTCGAGGATACACACACTGAGCACGTCTCCCCAACCTGCTTCAACAAGTGGGCAGGCACGGGGGGGGGTCCTCGACTCCTCAGAGCTGTATCCCCCATGGCAGCGGAGCCGACCGCTTCCACCATGCCGATGTGGGTGGTGTCGGGATGGACATATAAATACAGAGATTAGCTGTAATTTGCGTGATCTGCAGCGCAGTGGTTCGCCTCGCTTGATGATCTTGGACCCAGATACAAAAAGTTACACCGTTTGTTCTTCCCAGGAGAAAGTGATGCAGCAGATGCGCACTAGGATGCGTACTGTGTCGGTGTTCTGCTGGCTCAATAAAAATCATAGCAGGACAAGTCCCAGACCGGGGCAGCATGCTGCATGTACTCCGTATGATTGAGGAGTAGTCTTGGTGGTGTTGGGGTTGGGCGAATCTGGCCTTGCTCTCAAGACACGTTGACTCCAAAAAGCTGTAACGTGGCGGAACCGAAGCGGTGGCTAATCGGCGGCGTCACGTAGGTAGTTATCTGGGGAGCCGTATGAGTAGGCTTGACTATCTTGCTTGAATAGCGAGCTCATGGGCTACAGGGTTATTGCAAGGATGTCATAGGTACAGTACTTAGTATGCTAAGAAGATTGTATGAGAATTGCAGTAACTCTTGTATATATTATCAGAGAGAAAAAATGAATTGCTGGCTTCTTTGATGAGGAGTCAGCATCTAGCTATTCTATATAGACAATGAGTGAACATTTCTCTTCTATTCTATAAGTGAGAATAGCTGGAGTGATACCTCAGCAGTGCCTTACTGACATGAAAGCAGCAATCTGCTGACCTCATATAGAAGTGAGATTCTTATATTCATCAATTGAATCCTTCTATATTGCATTCAAGTAATGTCATAGAGTGATTGAAAACTGATTTAAATATCTGTGAGATGAATGAAATCATCTGCAGAGAAGTGATAAGCTGTGTGAAGCTATCACAGACTCTTGACACAGTTAGAAGTGTAATAATGTTTTTCTCTTTAAGAGTATAGTCTTAATTAGACTGATTATATGATCATGTCTGAGATCAGAATCAGAATATTTAATGATTTTATTATCAATTTAACTGATCTTATTACATAGTTTTAAGATTAAATAGTAGTCTCATACTGTCTCAGTAAGACTTACTGTCTACTCTTATTATATTTTTTAAATAAAATTATAATTTTCACTTCTTAATTTAAATTCTTTTTATTACTTTTAATAACTTTAAATCTTATTTAAATGTTATCAAAAAGTGTTACTTTTTAAAAAATTAAAAATAGTCTAAAAAAACCTTAAAATATCTAAAAATAGTAACTTTATATCAAGAATGAGACTAAATGAGATTAAATAAGATCACTTTCTTATTTTTTCTAAGTTATAATCTTATTTTAAGATCTGATAAATAGTTACTTTGTATGTTTTTTCAATAATTAGTCTCAGCGGGATTCATACTGTGATTCAAAGATTGCTTAAGTCAGTGTACAATTACAGACGTATATCAGCTTCTTATATACATTATACTAAATTAATTAGTGGCTGCTAGAGCCTCTTTACATTGATAAGTGTGTTTAAAAGTAGCTGTGTTATTATTCAGTGATTGTATATTCTTCTGAATTATATTCTTTCTCATCAGATTCAGTCATGCTTATATAACTATAATATAAGCTGCTCTCTGAGAAGCTTTTACTATTTTACATTATTTATTTATTCAGTAATATTTTCATTCTTCAATCATCATTCTCATTATTATCATTATTAAATATTATTATCTTATACAAGATTTCTGTCTCTTCTCTCTTTATTATATTCTTTTTAATCTGTTTATCTATTATATTATACATGTTTCTGATAATAGCTCTCTGTTCTTATTATAAGTATTATTATAGTACTTATACTAAGCAGTTTATTAGCAGTAAGTAAAACTAGACTGGCTGCTGAGACTATGAATTTCACATTTAGTCTCATTTAATCTGATCTCATACATTTCTTGGCATGAATTCTGCTGAGACTGACTATTAAAAAAACATGTAAAGTGACTATATATCAGATCTTAAAATGAAATCATGACTTGAAAAAAATGAGAAAGTGATCTCATTTAATTTCATTTAGTTTCATTCTTGACATAAAGTTACTATTTTTAGACATTTTAAGGTTTTTTTTAGA